TAACAACCCTATAAGTTAGATTGTACAAATATTATTATCATTATTTCACATATGTGGAAACCATAGCCAGCTGAAGTAGTCTCAAAAAACTGACAGGGAGTTACCTGATTATCCTAGGTATTAACATCCACTCTGAAGAAATTGCTTTGTTTTACTTTGTATATACTTCACATTTACTTATTTTTAAACATGTTATATCCTCTAAGTAGAATGTATGCTCCTTGAAGTCAAGGATTACTGTTCTTGTTGCTTTTGTAATTCAGTGACTTTCACATAGAAAGTGTTCAATAAATATTTGTTGAATTGACTTGATATTTCTTTCACAACTCTTTGTAGAAAGCATTGCATCATTAGGCAGACCTCCTACCTGGCCACCACTCCTTAATTTACCCTCTTAGGGGGAAGAGGAGAGAATTGCAGCCATAAGATTCTAAGACTTGTTTAGCACTGATTCAAAGTAATTGGAAGCTGCTGGTTGTTCCATTTTCCAGGGAAGAGGGAAGACCCCTTGAAGTAGCAGAGGAACAGCAGACAGGCAGAGAAGTTTGACTTCACTCTGACTATGAATTACTTATATTCATAGTTTATTCCTGTTTATAATCTCAAAGATTAAGAAATGAGTTACCTCTTCTACTCATTCATTCCAGGTCAACAAAATATGTTGAAAAGAAATAAGCCAGGTGATCAGAAGCTGCTTGGTATCCTCATTGGGAAGCAGGGATAATGTCTACCCCAGTTTTCTAGATGACTCTGAGGGAACATGGTAGGGGTATGGAGTTATCACAGAATAGGATAGGGGAAACATTTATTTAGTTTGAGAGGAAGATGTGTGACAAGCTAAGAGGAAAAGCCCCCATAGATAACAGGATTATTTGAGGTTGCCTGATCAATCTCACTTAAAGAAAAGTCATCTGTTACTTGACTCATTCCCATATTTAATGTTATCATCCTGAGTTCTAGGATAATCCAGAAGGTATCTTTGTATATTCCCTCATTAGTTACTAAAATTTCAATATATGCATATATAAATATTTGCATATATATTATATATACCTATATATGAACTATGCTTAGAATCTCACCTTAATTAATCAAATATTATTTATTTAATAAACCAGACAAACCTCCTTTCCCAATAATGGCTATATTTTGATTTCTCTACTAAATTTTATAAGGTCCTTGTATTAAAAATTCAAGTTACTGAAACACAATTTGTTAACAGTGAAATAAAAATAAAGGTATATAGATAATTGTTGCAAAAGTTATAGCTGTGATGAAGTAATAACCAATTACCACAAATCTTCATTGAAACTGCAGATAAGTTTTCTTCACTTTGGAGAACACAATCCCTCACCAGTTAGTTTATCCAGGAAAATAAGTAAAGTCTGTCCTCAAGAACCCTCTTCATTCTCTTTTCCAGATAAAGGTTACAATGACTTCATTAAAATATTTCTGCTTCTCTTTTCTCTCTTTCCCCCCCAGCCTCTCTGCAGCTATGAAAGGAAAACAATCTCTTTGACTTCTCTGCAACCCTGAATCTTAATAAGTTTTCTCCAGAGTCACTACTCATAATTTTTTTTATGTTTCTCCATAAAAATAACAGTTAAGAGAGTTCAAACAAGAAAGAGGTTTTCCTTCACCTTCTTTTTCTCTGTCTTTTCCAGTTTGTCTGCTAGATTCAAATTAAATTCTCACACACACACACACACACACACACACACACACACACACACACACACACACACACACCACCACCACCACCACAACGAACAACAACAACATAGAAAATCTCATAAAATGAGCTAAACTAGTTTCTCTGCTCTTAAGAGGATAGTACAGTTTCCATAACTTTGGTAGAATTGTATTCTGAGGGAGAAGTTACAATACAAATCAGAACAAAAACAAGTTAGTTTAATGTAAATTTCCTAGTCTGGTTAAATATGTTTACTTAAATAGCACCTAGTGCTGGCCCTGGAGTCAGGAAGACTCATCTTCCTGAGTTCAATTCTGGCCTTAGACACTTGCTAGCTATTACTCAAACTGTTTGCCTCAGTTTCCTCATCTGTAAAATGATCTGGAGAAGGAAATAGCCACAAAAATTCCAAATGGGATCACAGAGTGAGAAGTGACTGAAAATGACTGAACAACAATGTCTTTCCTAGTGCAAATGCAGTAGAACTCATATAGAAACACATCCCTGAAGGCTGCCTATAGATTTAAAAACCATATAGTAAGATTATTTATTTTGTATTATATTTTTATTCATCTTGTTAAATACTTCTTAATTATATTTTAATCTGGTCCTGCCACTCTGGAGTTTTGCCCCAAGTTTCATGTTTCTGCATAGAACACTATTTAGACACATCATATGTTTGGGATATCTACCACATTGTTCTAGGTGAGGCATGGATGAAAGACAGGAAGGGCAGGACAGAAACATAAGCAGCATAGGGGCAGGTGTTTGAAACAATAATTTTGATGTTGGGTTCTTGGCTTCCCTATTAAAAGTGAAAAATATGTGTTTTGGGATAGTCCCTATTACTAATTATGCAGTAGAGCTAATAGACAAGTCCTGGAAAACAGTGAATGATTCTCCCCTTCATTCAATTATGTACTTGAATAAAAGGGAAAATGCAGAATTCAGATGTGTTGGGAGGTGAGAAACCACGTTTTCGTGGTGTAAGTCATTCTTTTCTCATAGAATCATAGAATTACAGATTTGGAAGGGATTTTAACGGTCATCCAGTCTAACCCATACCAGAAAGAATTACTTCTAAAATGTATCTAAAGTATTAACTCAGCTTTTGTTTGATGGGCTTCAATGTGGAAGTGCATTCCTTTACTTTATTTTTATTTTTGTAGAGCATTAACTTTTAGAAAGAATTTCCTTATATCAAGCACAAAATTGCTACTTGTTGGCTTCCACTTATTGATCCTAAATCCGACCCATGGGACCAACAATAATGTTTAGTGTCTCTTCTACACAACAGCCCTTCAAACACTTGAAGAGTTTTCATGCTCCACCTTACTCAAGTCTTCTCTTCTCCAAACTAAACATCTCTAGTTTATTTAATGTTACATGCCATGAGTTCAGGGGCCTTCACTCTCCTGATTACCTTCCTTTCCACACCTTCCATCTTATCAACATCCCTCCTAAAATACAGTTATTGGAACTATGCACCTCATCCAAAAGCAAAGAGGAAAATGATGAAGAATTTTGCCTGATGGATTTAAAATGAATTATAAATATTATTAAAGATGTCAAAAGAGAGGTATGCTTCAATTAATTAGATAAGTCAGGAGAAGAAAAAGTCAACCTGGGACATCAGTGTCTAAATGTATAAGTATTTGATATTCACTTTTTTGCCCTCATGAAGTTATTAAGACATTCTGAATTAAGTACAATGCTCAAGAAAAGCTTCTTCAGTCTATTAATTATTTGACAAACTTCTGAAAGCAAGATCATTCTTGTTGAAGCTACCCTTTTGTTCTACCCTGACCCTATAGGTAGAAGTGACATGTAGGCGTGGTAATGGCTCTCCCTCTTTATGCTTATTCTCTCATTTTGCCACCTCAGAACATTGGGGAAAAAGAAAACTTTGGTATTAGTAGCTTCTGCTAGGTCACATAATCTGGAAATAGTCATTAGTAAATAGAATAATTAATAAACATATATGAATAGTCCCACTGAGAACTGATTATTTTTTGTAAGTTAAAAAATTTAGCAAAAAGAAAAGACACAAATAAGAAATGGGATGTTTATAAAGAAATAATCTACTGTTATGTTAGCTTCCTATGGAAAATGCTCTACAACTCAAGCTAATTAAATAAGTGTTTTCTTTGTCAAACCTTGTATTTTTTTTCCTCTTTTTCTACTCACTATGAAATGTGTGTGTAGTTGGACACATTCAGAAGTGTAGAATTCATAGAAGCAATGGATTTGGCATCCATATTCAGGTTGCTAATAATAAAGCCAGTCATAAACTTCTACAAATGCAATTGAATTGCTAATGAGTGAAAGGGAAGTACTCTGAAAGAATGGATATAGAATATCTAGAGTATTCTGATTTTCTTTTTTTAAAAAAAATTATGTTGGACATTTTCTGCCTGCGCTTTATGTTAAAATCTTTCAAAATAAAAAAGCAAACCTTTGGAATATGTCATTTTAAATTTAGAGTTTCATATGCAAAAAAAAATTAAAATTCTAATTAATGAGGAACCACTAAAAAGTAACATTGTTAGATGCATGTCAGAAAAAAAATGTCTGGACCAAGGAAATAAAAACCAAGCCAAAATTTCCATAATGTCTATATGTCTCTAACTTAAAACCATACCTTTCCAGTTTTAATAGTGGATAACTCTTTGGAATTTATACCTAACAGAAAATTGTCATTTAATTTATTTACAAAGACAAAATTAAACCAATATGTGAACTTTTCAGCTCTATGACTATCTTAGCTACAGGATTTCCAAGGAAGGCCAAGGAATCTGTGGAACAACAAAATAACTGAATCTAGTCATTGTTAAACCTACAAATTTTAGAGACACAAAAGTATGGGGGGAGGTGCTCTGTTTGGGGTTCTATAGTTACATGGAATTTAGATTTTTAAAAATATATTGATCAATATAGCCATTTAATACCTACCAATTCAAAACACTTGTGAGGATTCTAGTGTGTATTTATGATTTAGATACTCATCTTTCCACCATTACCACATTCTTATTTTTTTAAATCTAAGAAATACAGAAATGATTCCTGACATATTTCTAAAAAATTGTCATCAAATACAAATAAGAGTTTTCAGAAGTATCCAGGAAGGAGAGTCAATTCTGAGCTAGTCATGACTGGTTCATTAAGAGTTTGAAACACCACCACTAAGAAAGGCTACCATGTGGTGCCAACCCTACTGAGGAAAATTTTCCTAGTTAGAGGCCCTGAAAATTATCTACTTTTTAAGAAGACTTCCAAAACATTCATCATAAAATTAAAAAGACCTTACCTTTAAAATTGGGTCTGATTCTTGCATCATATCCTGATGTCCTTCCCATTAATTTGTCCAAGAAATCCGAAGGAGACATGGACTGTGAGGGGGGTTTTCCAGACCTGGAATCATGGTCTTTGCAGAAAGCCGTCCTAAATAGATAATTAGCTCAATTAGTTGTGAATCTATTCTTGATGTTAGAAAAGCACATTGAACACATATTATTTGGGGGAGGGAAGGGGAGGCAGGATTTCTCCAGTTTTAGGTAAAGATACCTGATGTATTACAAATACTCAAATAGAAAAGTTCAAACTTTTTCCAGCAACATTTGAACTTAAATATACTCTAAATCTAACTTCAAGCAATGAAAAATACAAAACATCAAATGTTTCCAAAGATCTCAAACTTCAGCTATCAAGAAGTGGAGATGACATGTTTATATAGTTCACACTATGGTTCATGCTGTTCATATGGTAGGTATTGGCAGGCAGAGTGTTTCATTAAACCCTAATGACAATGTTGACTTCTGCATCATACTTTTCTGTTTAACACCATTTTCCAGTAAATTTAAGCTTATTAGTGTTCAAGCATTTCAGTCCTAAATGGAAAAAACTCATTTCATGTTAGTGAAAATTGTTGTACATAACCAGCAAACACTGAAATAAATCATTCACCTACTTATTTCTCAATTATTAATTTCCTTTCTAGCTAAATATCATTAGTTATTTTCAAAGCAATCACTATCTAAAAGGTACAATCTTAATGGAATTTAAATTCCATTGAAAACTATTTCAGCAACTAGCACATCATGCAATCCTATTATTTTTTATCAGCTTCTTCATATCTAGAGACTTAAATTAGGGGTTCTCAACTGAAGTTTTTTAAAAAGTTGGTTCATTCATTGTGTCTTTGAAATAATAATAAAGAACAAGTTTAACTGAAAAATTCTCAAACTATCATTCCCTCATTAAAAGTAATTAAGGGCTCATGAAATGAACAGATTTGGTTTTAAGAGAGATGAATCCTATTACAAACTATATTGAATTACTGGACTCCAGCAATTCTTTCCTAAAGCATGAATTGTATTTTCTGTGTACTTCTAATAGTATTTTTCATTAACTCTTGTTAAGCCTGTCAATTCACAAAAAAACACATTATTTTCAGTTTTTCAAACAAGTGGTATTAATTATAAATGCTAGGATAATATCATGACTATTTAATAGGTTTAAAATTGTTATAATACAATCATACAGAAACATATATAGGTATGTATGTTGAATCAAATAGTTGATGACGATGTTAAAATCTAGCATAACCCCCTCCCCCTTCATTTGTAGTGAGAAGAGTAACCCTGATGAGGGCATAGTAGGTTGTGGCAGTACTCATGGTGTTATTGCTACACTCTTGCCTTCAATTCTATGAACACTGATACAAAAGCCTTCATAGTGAATGAAAATGAAATGAAAAATACTGCACTTTGTGATGTAAGCATTCCTTACCTATAAACTTCCCCCCAACCCTACCATCTCTCTTGACACCATGGTCTGGATGACTTTTTTCACTTCCTGGGAATAACCTGACACGTCGATGTTCCACTTGATTTGACAACTTGTAAATTATGTAGCAATTATAAACAAGTAAATTACAGCACCCCTCTTATAATCATATATATTTCCCCTTTATTCAGAAAAAAATATATCCATCGAATATTAATGGTACTATCTTTAAATAATTAATCTCAGAAATAGATCTGGAAGAAAAAAAGTAGATGGAGCTGGAAGAAGGTAAGAGATCTTTTCCCTTTGTTTGAGATTTCAAGAAAATTCCTGAATAGTGCTTTTCATAAGTGAGCTTGAGACTGTTGATACATTATAGGGACCTCAGATTGTCTGGGGATTGATGGGGGGAATCCTTTTTCCTTTGTTGGCTACACCAGTAATCTTTAGTTAATGGATGAATTCATTTTTCTAACTTGAAAAAAATCATTCAGGTATTTTTCTAAACAACTTCCAACAAAATAGGAAAGGGAAAGAGAATGGAAAATACATGGAAAATTAAAACAGTATGCAACTGAGACTACTTTAATATTGTATTTGTTTGTGCTGAAATCCAATGAGTAAGAAGATGCATCTTAAAAACTTGGTTTTTTGATATTTTGCCAAAAAAGAAGCTCTTTAAATGAACAAAAGCAATCTAACTCTTCCCCATACAATTAAAATGAGATAGGTTCAGACAATGCAAAAGAGATTTATGTGACATCTTCTTTTCTATTCAGTTCCATGTCTTTTAGTAAATATTAGCATGCAAAGTCGTATCACCTACCTGAAGTGGTTTGTCTCTAAGAAAAATGCAAACAAGGCTGTCAAAATGTTCACTAGCTGCCGGTTCATTCCTGTTTCCTGTGAAGATTGTGGAAAATATCCCAGAAATGATGCCAGAAAGAAGCTAGGAGAAAGTACCTTTTATTGTCCAGATTCAAAATCTGTCAATAATCTAATTTTCTTCAAAATAAAAAAAAGATGTGGATTTGTATAGTTTGGGGAGAAAAAATAAAAAGTGCCAGTCCTGGGAATCATGGTCAGGTCAAACAGAGGCTCACTACCATCAGCCGACAAAAGCGAGAAAAAGCATCAGAACTGGTGAATCCCCCAAACTGCTTTTCACTAAATAATAAAAACGCTGCTACCTTAAGCGCATCACCATGCAGAAGGGAATGGTGACAATGCCATGCTGGAAGTCTGGCTCCTGAAGCTTTGATTTTATTCTATTTCTGTTTGGTAAAATGCTATCCCTTAAAAAAAAATCTTCTCTTTACGAAAGGAGTTGTAAATGAAGAGAAAGAAGGGGCAGTGTGTTTTGGGGTGAGGGAAATGGGGAAAATTGGTAAGCTCCTGTGCAGGAATGAGAGCGATAGAAAGAGACAAGGACGTGATCTTACCCAGCCTATAAATTTCAGCACTTGGACAGCTCGAAGCTCTGTAGTGCGCATGTTTTCTTCTTCAGCCTTGTTGGGGCGGGGGACAGGGAGAAACATTTAACAGAGAACGTGACTGGAGTCCAGACCCGGGCAAAGAGTGGTCCTTCAGCAAGCAATGGGTGTGCTGAATGGGTCCTTTGACGAAAAGGAGAGAGCAGAGATTGAAGAGGGAAGAATAGGTGAGGGAGATTATTTAGGTTCATAAGAATATGAGTCTGGGGGCTATAGATGGAGAGGGATTTGAGCTAAAATATAAATGAAAAAGAAATAAAGAGAATGGGGGAGGGGATATAAGGACATTTTAAGTATGGAGGAATGAATCTGGAGTTCTTAAAGTTTAAGAAGGAGAGTTGGGATTTTCTCTCACGTAGTGAAAAGGCACTGAGGTGGTGGGAGAAAAATAGTCTTGTGTATGCAAGTGAAAGGAACAAGGTGAGCACAGATTTAAGAATTTTCCATTCAGGCATGATCCAGGGGATCCATACATTAATTTAGATTCCATTTTTATCTCTATAGCATTGCAACAATCCTTCCTTATGTTCAACCTCTTGTTTTCAGAGGGAACTCTCTCCTAAGATGTGCAACCTATCCTCTGAAATCCCTCTTCTAACTGAACTCCACCCCTACCATATTCACAGTAGTGTGTTTCCTTTAACAGGAACTCAGATTCTTTGGTAATGCTCTTTATTACTTCACTAATTTATATGACAGAACAAAAGACCAGAAGGGGGCAGTAGCAACCTGTTTCTGCCCTTGCAGAAAAGGTGATAGGCCAGGGCTACCTGGAAAAAAGAGAGAATTACTAATAGAGAGCAAGTGTTCATTTTAAAGGATATCATTTTAGGGAACTGCCTTCCAATGTTTTCTGTTGGTTATATGGGAAAGTCAGACAGGAAGAATGGAGGGCTTCATGGGAAAATAAATGTGAAATGTAATCCCAACTAAAGGTAGTTTTGTATATAAAAGATTAAAATTGCCCTTGTCATACCACAGGAGCTCTTGTTTTTAAATAATCTAATCTGGAGGGTAACGATATACTTCTATGAAGATTCTAATCAGGTTTGGAGAAATAAATTTTCAAATGATCTTTCTTCATTTATATAAAGGCATATAGATTTGGAAATAGGTAATACATGCATATATACATATATACATACATGTATTGGTATATGTATATATAAAGAGAGATTTAACTTAAACACACACACAAATACGCACCTCAAATCCTGAGTTTTTGCTCAGTAAAATGTAGGTAGGGTCCACTTTACAAAGAAAACAGTTCATCCTAAAAATACACTGCCTACTTAACAGATAGTTGTTCCTTAAATGCATTTTGAGTCTTTGCAATTTAGGAAAAAATAACCAACAGTGATATATTGGTTTGTGCATCGTAGCTCCATGCCTCATCATCTGTTAATGCAACCCCATGGTAAATATATCCCACAGTTCTGGTCCCTAAATGAAATCAATGCTTAGAAATAAATTATCTTAACTGAAATTGCCTAGAAAATTATATATGAGAAAAAAAGTTTCCTTTTCACTTGCCCTAAAACTTTATAGAGAGAAGTTTCTGGGTAGGTGCATCCCTTTTTGTGCCATATTTACATCTCCACCATTCTGAATCTAGTCTAGGCAGACTTCAGCAAGGTCAGTGATAGTGGTTCTCCCATTCCAATGCCTGTGCTTGATAAGTTTCTAAGAAAGGAGAAAAGTGTATCTAGTTAGGACAGCTGCATTTCATACCTGCAATTGAGATTTTGGTATCATGTACAATTGGGAAAGATCCCTATCAGGTAAAGAGAGAATATGTTGCGTATTATCTGAATTCACCAAGTGTTTGTTAACCACTTCCCTTATGTCAAACACCATGTTAGGTCCTGGGGAAACAGAGAAGAGCAAAAATATCAATTCTTCCAAAGTGACTTATAGTCTATGATGTTGATACTGATATCACAGAACTATAGAAGAGCTAGTTTTTAAAAAATCCGCTCAAGTTATAGCATTGCATGTGCACTGCATGGGACCAAGTGAGTCATGATTTGGAATTTGAAAATTCTAATATATGAAACCAAACAGTTTCCATAATAAAGAAAATGTGGTAAAATGGAAAGTATTTTGGAAATAGAGTTAGGAAATCTAGATTTGAATCTTTATTCTAGCATTTACTAATTGTGTAGTAGTAAGCTAGTCATCTAATCTTTCTGAGCCTCAGTTTCTTCATATGTAAAATAGGGACAATAATACTTGTATGACAAGGATTCTAAGGATTTTGGGTAAAGTGTTTTGTAAACAAAATGTTATAGAAATATTTATAATTATTATTAGTCTATGCAGAATTATGATTGAATGACTGAATGATAGAATAAAATCCAGCAACATCTTGTTTCCTTAGTATTTTCATATACCAGATCAAAATGGCTCACACAAATATGGGAGGATTTGCAGTTCAATGGCTTCTTAATACCTGTTTGTCTTCTAAGTTACTCAATTACTTTAGGCTATTTATTTGGCGTTTTCATAGTTCGTTCCTTTAGCTCTTGAGGAGGATGCATCATATTTTGATGAATTTATGATCACATTCCCTCTAAAAGTGCAGATCACAACCCATTGATGCTTTTTTCATCCTAGGCAACTCTTGCATATTTTCTCCAGTAAATCTCCACATTATGCCTATTATGCTTAGAAACTTAATCTCTTGACATTGTGTGGCCATAATGGAAGACATGGCGGTTATTAATTATCACTCACTGTCACTACCTAATTTTTTTTGTTCTTACATCTCTCTGATGATAGCCCTTACATTGCTTCTTCTAAAAAAAAATCTTTGTTAGTAATATGCTAGAGACTATGCATGTCTTTCAGGCATGCTTCCTTTTTTCTTTGGGTGATATGCAACTCATTTCTTCTCAAACTGTAGTATTCCATGAATCGCAGTCACTTGGCATTACCAGAACAATACTGGTATTCAAAAAGATGGACCTTTTTATCCCTTTCTTTTTAAAAATGTGTTATTTATTTAAGCAGCTGGTGCTTATTTAAGCAAGCAGGTGCAATGGCTAGAGTACTGAGCCTAGAGAGATCAGTCAGAAAGATTGGTCTTTATGAGTTCAAATCCAGCCTCAGACATTTACTAGCTGTGTGCCCCTGGGAAATAATTTAACCCTGTTTGCCTCAGTTTCTTAATCTGTAAAAGTGAGCTGGAAAAGGAAGTGGCAAATCACTTTAGTATCTTTGCCAAGAGTTGAATATGACTAATTGACTAAACAAGGACAAAGATTATTTATTATTTTTAACATTCTTTTCTCTTCAAATTTTGGATTCTAGATTCTCTACCTTCCTTCTACCTTTCTCCACCCACTGAGAAGGTAAACAAGATAATATCAATTATATGAAACATTTCTATATTAGCCATATCCAAAAAAGGCAAAAAAAAAAAGAAAGTGAGAAAATTATACTCTACTTTGCCCTCAGAGTTTTCAGTTCTCTCTCTGGAGCTGGATAACATCTTTTTATCATGAACCTTTGGAATTGTCTAGATTATTGTATTGATCAGAGTTGATCGTCATTATAACATTGCTGCTACTGTGCACATTGATCTCCTGATTCTTCTCATTTCACTTTGCATCAATTGATGTGTCCTGTAACCACCCTTCTCATCATTTCTTGTATCACAATAGTATTCCATCACAATCATATGACACAACTTGTTTAGCCATTCCCCAATTGATGAACATCCCCTCAATTCCCACTTCTTTGCCAACACAAAAAAGATCTGCTCTAAATATTTTTGTATACATAGCTCCTTTTCCTTTTCCTTTGATCTCTTTGGGGTATAGACCAAGTAGTGGTATTACTGGATCAAAGGGTATGCACAATTTGATAGCCCTTTGAGCATTGTTCCAGATTGTTTTGAGAATAGTTGGACTAGTTCATTGATGTATTTATCTTCCTTTATCACCTGCAGCATTTGTCATTTCTAATGGATGCGATGTGTGACCTCAGATTTGTTTTAATTTGCATTTCTCTAACCAATAGTGATTTAGTGATTTTTTTTTCCTATTACTATAGACAGCTTTAATTTCTTTTTCTGAAAACTGACTCTTTATATCCTTTGACCATTTGGCCCAGAACTGTTTCTGGTCAATAGAGTTGCCAGTCAGTGCCAGTTGCATCCAGTGCTAGCAAAGAGTCCCCTGTAATCTGTTTCTGACCAATCATTCCACTCCCTTTACTACCTCTGGATTCAGAGCTCCTGAAGCTCCTACTGCTGCTGCTATTGCAGGTGCCTCCAATGCCCACAGATGGTGCTCCTGCCATGCTCCAGGACCCCACCCAACCTGATGTTACAGATAGCTCCTGTAGCCATCCTAAATTGTCTGACTGGAAAAATGTCTCCCTTTGACCTTTTGTTGGATCTGCCAGTCCAAAATGTGAATTGAGGTGTTATTTTAAAGTTTTTTGGAGGGGAATGTTGAAAGCATTCAGCTAGGTCTCAGCCTCTATTCTGCCATCTTGGCTCTATCCCCATGGACCTCTTTTTTTTCTTAAGGAAACACTTGGGATCACAAAAAAAACACTGCATGATTTCTCAACACCAATAAAGCCTTCCTCTTCCAACTTAATTCTAGGACAATTTTGTAATTCTGCCTCAGTTCCTGTCCAAGCTATGCATACTAATGGACTAGCTTAATGGATTGTCTCTCCAACTGCATATCATTTTCACAAAAATAGATATTCTACATCCACTTAATTTTTCCTATATAAATAATTAAGTTGAACCCTTTGAATTACATACACACAATTGGGAGTAATGAGTAATAATTTTGGCAAAACAAGCAGTTACATGAAGTCAAATGTTTAGATTTTTCCAAATAATTACACTCAGATGGTCTTTCCCCCACCCATTTTCTCCTACATGTTTTAGTACCATGTAGCCAATTTACCTACCTGCTTAGTC